TATATATATATATATATATATACACCTATGTTAATACCCTGTGCAATAGCCCTGTATAATACTATAACAAAATTTTGTTTTGTATCTACCCTGTTTGTAAACGCGATACACGTTGTCTAAGTCATAATCCTGTTAAATTTAGAGACTTAAGCTGTTATTTTTTTCTCATTTTGGCACCTTCTTTCTGACTATTTAAACTGATGTAATCAATCAGTCAATCAATCAGTCAATCAGTCAGTCAATCAGTCAGTCAATCAATCAGTCAATCAGTCAGTCAATCCAGTGGGCTCCATGCAGAATCACTTCTTTCACTGAGATCAATGTCATATCAATCTGTCATCTTTTTATCAAAATAACTGCATCTTCCTGAGTTGAGTTGAGAATTAGCAATATCAATTCAATTGGCAGATTATCTTAATTTCCTGCCTAAAGTAAAGGACACGTTTGGAAGAAAGGTGTCCTTTTTCTGGATCAGCTTTTGTTGTGAAATGCATGCAGGGAACTTCAGAGGCACAGCCTGATGCCGATCCATTTAAAAACCTCGATAACTATTTTAAACCACTGGAATATTCCTGCATTTCATCTGTAGTGGACAATAATCCACCCCACTACATTCTGACGGTCTATTTAGGATTAATCCCATAAACCCTCAATGATGGAGGAGAAGCAACTTGTTGGATCCCCTCCATCGTTTCCATCTTAAATCCAACATTATTCTGAGTTTTGTGGAATTAATATATTATTTAAAATGATGGACATTTTTATCATTTAAACAGTTTTAGACCGTATGAAACAAAATGAATGCGGATTGTTTCCCTGTGGTTAAAACAGGAGGATTGAAAGCATCTAATGTTAAAATGAGGCAGAAGAGAACAGAAGAAGGATTCTGTTCAAATACAGCTGCTTTTATACAGCTGGACACCTATGAAGCGTCAGACGCCACACATCTGTAACTTTGGATTAGCTGATCATCTGGAGAGGTTTATAAAACATCAGGAGTCTCCTCTCTGCCAGGCAGGAGAGGAAGAGCAGAAGCATCAATAACTCCTCATTAAGACAAGGAAACGGGCAGAGCTAAGCTTCATCACTCCAAATACATTAAAATCCTTTAGCCCGTTTCAGAGATGGTGAATGTTCTCATGGCTGACGTCAAACCTTTCCAAACAAGATGTCCCATAAATGGCTCTACAGTTACCTGGCTGGGAGGTTGATCTGGGGACGGCCGCTTTGCTACCAGCAACACTAGAAATGCTGCTGGTCATGCTCTGCCGCTTCCCACCTGCAGCAATCGCACCACGCAGTGTATCTGCAGGGAAGCCAAAGCCTTTATACCAAATAAACAATCATTTTACAAAAAGGGGGTGCCATGGAAATGAAGCTCCAACCAAAAACTGCAGCTCTACTCATGCAGGACTCAGGATCACAGAAAAAAACCAATAATAACGTCATGCAACACAACTTCCAGTCGGTTCTACAGTCAATGTTCAGGCAGTTCACAAATAAAAAACATCTAAAACATAAGAAACACCAGCAGCAGCACAGAACATTCATCCAGCCTCCGTATACCTTCATAACCAAACGGAGTAGGATCACTCTTTATCTCGTGTCTCTTGCTCTTAATGCTAGCAGAGAGGGAACCTGGCAGAGAAGACGAGGCGAGACGGAAATGAGCTGACAGAAAAAAACATCAAGCTACAGAGGAGCGTTAAGCTCCACGTCATTCGGCACTGGGGGGTGGGGGGCTCATTGATCAGATGTGATCTAATTATCAACTTTATTTGTCAGGTAATAAAAACAAAACAACAGCAAAGATGTTTGATGAAGGTCAGCCTAGGTCATATCTAGTGTTTGTGTTAAAAAAGGTTGAATTTTTGCCTGTAGAGAAATTAAAGTCATCGATCTTACAGACGTTTTGCCTTTTCAAATTATTTGGTTTTTGCTAGTTTAAGTTTTAGCAGTGAGGATGATGATAATTTCATGAAAATAAAGAAAATCAGCTGAATGACAGGTGCCCCCCCCCCATATGCCTCTATGTTACATGAAGCTAAACGTTCTGAAGCACAGAGAAGAACTGAAAACTAGCTAAAGCTGTCAGACATCCTCCAATGATTTATCTATTAATGAAAAACTATTTTCTATATTTGAAACAAACTCAATCAAAATGTCTTTATTTTTTTAAAATGTAGAAGAACTGAAGGGTTAATATTTCTGTTGCAAAGTGCTGTAATGCAAGAGTACAAGCAAAGCCAGACGGAAGGTGTGCAGGGTGAATACCTTTGGTGCGTCGCATGGCAGAGGAAGAGGAGGCAAGAGAGGAAGTGAGGGAGAAGCGACGGGGAATCTCAGCTTCTTTGGCTGTGGGCTCTAAAGCAGGATCAGTTTTAAGAAAAGGAAAGGAAGCCATGAAATCAACACTGATACTGATGGAGCAAAGAGGGAAAACAGCAGATGTGGCTGGAATGAAAAGACCAACAGGATGAGAGCAAAAACTCAAATAATGAAGAGATTGTTCATGTTTCACCTTTCCACCGCCACCAAGCAACACTTTGAAATATATGAAGAAAACGCAAAATTCAGAGTGACACAAATGTAAGGATGGAAAGGATAGAAACCATGAAAAATGATCCAGCAAACTTTCCTTCAATGGGAAGTTAATGCAAATCAATCGGTTTCTTATATTTGACTAAAGGCCAGAGGAAAAAGCTTCTCAGACCACATGTAAGAGCAACAAAACAGAGCAGCAGCTTCTAGATCCGCTTTCACCTCTAAACGTCAGACTCTCCCTTCTTCTGACTATTCTGTGACTAACTGGATGTGCTCTCTTCATCCTGTGACATGGGAGCTGGCTCGGAGCTCGTCTGCCTGGCTGTGTGTTTCCTGGACGGGGCCGCCTGTGGAGCTGGTTGACAGTTGCCTTTTGTATCTATGCTTCTTTTTCTATGTCTGCTTCTGTCTCCTTGAACCCCAGTGGGCCTCAGCAGATGGCCGCTCACACTGAGCCTGGTTCTGCTGGAGGTTTCTTCCTGTTCAAAGGGAGATTTTCCTCTCCACTGTCGCTACAAGCATGCTTAGTGTGAGGGATTGCTGAAGAGTCAATGAGTCGATGCAATCAGCTGGTTTTCCTTAGATAGAAAACTTTGAATCAATCTGACTGGATGATCTGGTGAACTGGAAAGTGACCTGAGATGACATGATGTGAACTGGAGCTATAGAAATAAACTGAATAGAATTAAATTGAAATAAACTGAATGGAATTGAAAGTCCATGTTATATTTATTTGTTGATTCCTCACTTGTTTTAAAGGAGCCCAGTCACATATTATACTTATCAAAATAACAAAAATAAAAACATATTTTCCAATTACGGTAAAATGAATCTATATTCAACCATAATTGTCCTGCTTTGTTTACTTTGTTGGCGCTATAGAAATAAACTGAATTTAAATAGAATTGAATTGGTGGTAAACGGGGGGTCTGGGGGGGTTGGCAAAGGTGCTGCTAACACCTCCAAATGTCAGGACTGATTATTGATTCCTAAACCAAATCTCAGATCAGACCTTTAGTTGCGATTTTGCTTCTTTTATTGTGAAAGGCTGCTGGTCATCCATTATCCCTGTTCCCAGGAAGCCACGGTCCACAGAACTTAATGCCTTTAGCCTCGTCTTCCTGACCTCTGTGGTTAGGAAGTTTGAGTGCCTTGTACTTTCACACCTGATCAGATCACTGACCCCCTCCTAGACCATCTGCAGACGATGCTGTCAACTCGGCCCTTCACTCCATCCTCTAGCATCTGGATTCTGCAGGTTCCTACGCCAGGATCCTGTTTTGGATTTTAGCTCTGCCATCAATCCAATCATCCCAGCTGAGAGGGCCGGACTCCACCTGCAGGTGGATTACAGACTTCCTGTCTGACAGGAAGCAGCAGGTGAAGCTGAGAAATCATGTCTCCTCCTCCCAGCTCATCAGCACTGGTTCCTCCCAGGGCTGTTCTTTCTCCTCTGCTCCTCTCCCTGAACACCAACAGCTGCACCTCCAGACATCAGTCTGTCAAGCTTCTGAAGTTCGTGGACGACACCACTCTCATGAGACTCATTTCTGATGGTGATGCCTACAGGTGGGAGGTTGACCATCTGGCGAACTGGTGCAGGGAGAACAATCTGGAGCTCAACGCTCTAAAAACAGTGGAAATAGTTGAGGACTTCAGGAAAAACTCAGCCCCAGGTATCCCCATGACCCTCTGGGATGATTGACACTGTGGAGTCTTTCCTCTTCCTGGGAACGATCATCTCACAGGACCTAAAGTAGGAGCTGAACATCAACTCCCTCACCAAGAAAGACCAGCAGAGGATGAACTTCCTGATGAAAGAATTCAACCTGCTGAGGACAGCGATGGTGCAGTTCTACTCCTCCATCACCTCCTCCATCCTCACCTCCTCCATCACCATCTGGTGTCACCGCCAAGGACAAGGGCAGACTGCAGCTCCTCATCCGGTCTGCAGAGAAGGTGATTGGCTGCAATCCTCCAATCTCTCCAGGATGTGTACGCCTCCAGGACTCTGAGGCCTGCAGGGAAGATGGTGGCTGATCCTTCGCACCCCAGAAACAAACTATTCAGTCCCTTCCCTCTGGCAGGAGGCTGCGCTCCATCAGGACCAAAACTTCACGTTCTTCCCATCCGCTACCAGCCTTATCAGCAAGGACCAGAGACCCCCGTCACCCTGAACCTAATTTATTTTCATAAAATAATTTTCACAGTTTGATGTTGAATGGAAACAGCTACATGACAGACACGGAATGTTGATGATGTTGAGGCAGTAGATAAAACAACAATAATAATGGAGATGCTGCTGCTGCTACTGATGATGATGATGATGATGATGATGATGATGATGATGATGATGATGATGATGACACTTGTTACCTGCTGGAAGAGAGCGCCTATTGGACAGTCCCTGCAAGGTGAAATGCTTCCGAGCATTAACAGCTGATTGGCCTGAAGCATCAGCTAAATGGAAAGGTACAGCAAGGCAAAGAAAGGGTTAATTAGTAAAGCTGGGAATCTGAATTAGCAGCAATGTCTAGAAACCCATTATTTACTCCACTAGTTTATAAATATTAGTGTAGAATCAGAGATATTCTTAGACTTTTATTGTCATTTGTCACTGTTTATTGTTTACAAAACTAAATTTCGTTTAGTACAGCTTTCAGACAGAAAGTGAACATTTCCATTCCATAAAGTCCAGCAGAGATCAACTGTAAACAGAAAAAAAAACATGGGCCAAAGACGCATTGATCTGGAAGTTCAGAGCATTAAAATATAAGGTGCAAATATGCAGTATTTGGTTTGTTATCAGTGTGATGCAGAGTCTGAGACATGATTAGAGTTTTCTCAGTGGAGTGGAAGATGTCTGATCCACAGTGTTGAACGCTGTAGTCAAGTCCAGGAGGAAGAGAAGAGATTTGTATAAGATAAGATATAAAGGCAGTGTGGGAAACCGTGTGGCAGGGAGCGGATTGTATCTACTTTCTAACTGATAAAATTGTTGAACCTCTGTTCTGCCTCTTTTGTATGACAGTGAGTTTGCGGTTTGAGGATGTAATTCATGGTTGAAAAAAGTTGCTTGAAGCTGCCAGGGCTGCTGTTAGAATAATACGGTGAATGTGCATCACTCAAGGAACTTGCATAAGATGTCTGATGTTTACTGTGGGCTGCCTATGAACAGTGACTCTGAGGCGCCGTTCACTCAGCCAGCTTTTTTCATTTGCCGTAGTTCAAAGGTGTATCATGGGGCCGAGCGTCAGAAGCTGACATTTCTAGTTTTGACAGGGATGTGGAGATCTAGGAAACTTCACAGAGACTAGTTGTAGAAGTCAACCGACTCTGTGAGCGGAGCTAGAACTGGAGGGCTGGAGCCATGTTTCTGTGAGAGACATGAAGTCTCTTGTTGGTGAGGTGGTCGTGTAGGAAGGATGCTTTCTCCTTGAGGGAATGGGAGTTAAAAAGTTCTAACAACCCAGGAGATCTCTGCGACTCAACTGAGTCGATGCAATCAACTGGTTTTCCTTAGATAGAAAACTTTGTATCAATTTGACTGGATGATCTGGTTGAACTGTAAAGTGCCTTGAGATGACGTGTGTTGTGAATTTGGCGCTATATAAATAAACTGAATTGAATTGAATCTGAGCATGCAAAGATCTCCTGTGTTGTTAGCACCGAGAACAACACCTAACTGATTGTACGCCTTCCAGATTGATGGAAGGCTAATTGTGGGCCAGACTGAAGGTAAACAAACTCCTGACGGGAACTTCTGCAGATGTAACGCGGATGAAGTCCAATCTCTCTGATGGCTGCAGTGCACGTACGAATGTACTGGTTGTTGAGAGCCAGATGGAGTATGTGAGCGTCATGCCGGTCACCGGAGAGTTAGCCGGGAGCTAGCGGTTAGCCAAACACAGTGTTCACCACTGACAGCCGGAGGTGACCAATAATCCGCTGATGTTGGAGGTTGATGTCAGTTGGTGGATAAAACACAAAAACTCAAACCATAGAACTCTGTAAAGCTGTTAAAATTAAAACAATGTTCAAAATAATGTTCAAAGTAATACCTTGAAGAAGCAGCAAACAACAACTGCCAGCATCCTCTGCAAGCGGGCCAAAGCGAGCGGGCGGGCAGAAAAGGCTGCTGACCAAAACTGGTCCATGTAGATGGTATAAAAGGTATAGCTAACTCTAACCCTATAATTAGAAATACAGGTTGATAGTTTCTGTAGGAGCACCGCCCGGTTCAGACAGACCTGATAAACCATCCCTCCAGCATCTGCCTCTGAGCTCTGATGGGGGAAATAAAACCTCTACTCTTCACATCCATCGATAGAACAGATGATTAGAAAATCCTCGTTTTCTTTAATGATCAAAATGATCTTTAAATATTTAGAGATAGAGTTACGCCTCAGTGTATAACCTGTTCACCTCAGGAGGACAGGTGGAGGTAGGTAGAAAGGTGAAGGTAGGCAGGTGAAGGTAGGTAGTCAGGTGGAGGTAGGTAGAAAGGTGAAGGTAGGCAGGTGAAGGTAGGCAGACAGGTGG